TCTGCCCGTCCCCTCGTGGTCGGTCTGCCTTCCCGCGGTGAGGATAACGACTTCTTCTATCACGCTTGCCCCTGCAGTCGTCTGTTCGCCTGTGATAAAGACGATGTTTGATATGTCTGTGATGAAACCTGTTTCTCAAGTAGTCCCAGTCTGACGTGTCCACAGAGCCTGCTTTGTTAAACTGGAACCCGTCGAAATGAGTTCATCTTATACCAGCGATCAAAATTACTCGCCAAGAATATTTTTTCCTGTCTGGCAAAAATCATTAACACACTGCACATTTTTCATAAAAACACAATTTATCAACCTTCCCAACTTCTGTCTAGAAATAAAGTCCTTTTTGAAATAGTCTTACAATTAGAAGAAGACAGATTTATTTAACCCTCGAGTCATCGCCCATACAATCAAGTCTGTAAATCGTAAAAATGGAAGAACACGTCCTCCCCTCGACTCGAGACAGAAACATTAACTGTTGCGTTGGTTAAGCTTTGAAAGCAGAGAGAGCCGCCGTACCCTCTCAGAATCAGCAGACTTTTATTTACCTTTATATATTTAATGAAACAATGTAACGTTTTAGCTTCATGCAGGAGAAACTGTTACAGTTACAGAACCTCAAAGTTCTTTTCACCTCATTTTTTCCGTCTGTTCTGAGCCATCATAAAAAAGCGGAGATGTCCACATGAGATTTTCAGGGCTGAATAACGTTAAGCTACGTTTTTCAATTCAAACTAATTTTTAATGCACCAAGAGTCCAAAGAAAAAGTCTGCTTTTCTTCTTCAGAATGACTTTTCTGTGACCAGCTTTGAGCACCAGTATCACAGGACATATCCCAGTTTCAATAACATGTACCAGTTTAACATCTATGATGTAGAGCAGGGGTGTCCAACTCCAGGCCTCGAGGGCCGGTGTCCTGCAGCTTTTAGATCTCACCCTGGGTCAACACACCTGAATCACATGATTAGTTCATCACCAGGCCTCTGGAGAACTGCAGAACATGTTGAGGTCGTTTAGCCATTTGAATCAGCTGTGATGGATCATCTAAAAACTGCAGGACACCGGCCCTCGAGGCCTGGAGTTGGACACCCCAATGTAGAGGATCAGAAGCAGGCATTGGTACGCTGAACGTTTGATCTGTTTCTGATCATTCACAGCTGAAAACTCTGGGGGGAAAAAAGTGCATTCTGGGTAAATGCTGAATGCTCATATCACCACGTGGGATAGGTGGCTGTTTAATCAACTGACAGCGTATGAAAGTGTCAGGGACCTGGATCTGAGCGAACCAGGGTCCATGAGCAGTTGTGGACTCATATGATATCGTGTCTTTTCAGCACTGTGCTGCTGTCTTGTTTCCATGCTTGTGTATGTAGAGGCAGGTGTGTGTGTGTGTGTGTGTGTGTGTGTGTGTGTGTGTGTGTGTGTGTGTGTGTGTGTGGGTGTGGCCGTGACGGGCACCTTCAGGCCTGGTGGGTGTGGCCACACATAAGGACCACACACACCTGCAGCTGATCAGGAATGTTGGGGGAGCTACATAGGAGTAGCTGAGAGCTCCTCGACGCTGGATCGTTGAGTTAAAGTCCAAGTGAGTGCGTGTCTAAGTGTAGCATCGTGCTGGTTGTGTATGCCCGCAGGAGTAAGTGTTTGACGGCTGCCTCTGTTGTTTCCTGCAGGAGGAGCGTGGAGCCAAAAAGGGCAGCACGCACGGGGAGTGCAGAGAGACACGGGAGTAAGAGGGAGCTCACCGGGATTAATTGTGTTCTTGTTATTTACTCCACTGTAAATAAAACGCACAAGAGTCCTGCGTTTGGGTCGTCCACCCCCACGGTCTGCCAGCGCAGCCGTGACAGAAGGTCTTATGTCTGAAGGACCTTATGTTTGCCTCCCTTTGACGACAGCATCATCTTCTAGTTGAGATTCCTTCTGTGTCACAATCATTTTCTAATATGGGATACACAATGGGAGAAACCAGCCAAAGAGCCAAGAACACCAGCCGTGCACACAATCAGCCGTGCACACAATCAGCCGTGCACACAATCAGCCGTGCACACAATCAAGAAGAACCGGACCTTTCTATACTTCCAATGCTCATCTCAACTGTCTGCAAATATCTCTCGAAAATGTAATTTTCTGATGAAAGCACTGTAAATAAGTGGTTTTGCCCCAAATCCTCGTCCAGCAACGCTCCTGGCTGTGATGGGAAAAGCCCGCTCAGGGCAGCCGCACATGCTCAGGGTGTGATGAAGTTAAGAATTTTAAAAAAAAATCCGATATGACTGTAAAACTGATCTGGTTGCAGTTTTTTAACAGAGCATAAAACATTTTTTTCAGCTGTAAAAATGTCCTGTGGACACGTCTCACACCCACTCACGATGGTGCGCCTGTAACTGAGGCAAAGATTTCCCAGGGCCTCATTAAATATATTGAAGTTATTGCAGGTGTAAACACCCGTTTGCCTCACAGGTCGGCTAACGCTCCTTCAGGCCGCTGCTGCTGGCTGAAAAGCAGATTCACAGACAGTCTGTGGGATTTACAACAACAGCTACAAACAACTTTTAGCAACTGAAACCAGAAAAGAGCCAAGAAAGATCAGGGAATAAAAGTGTGCGTCTGAGTCCTTTACACTTTATAAATACATGTAGTTACACGTAACGCTTCATTCATAAAGTTTTCCTCCTGCCTCTTCATGGGAACTCGTGCCCTCAGCTCTGTCCTGCAGGAGTCAGCAGGTTAATAATGGAGACCGTCCCTCGTCAGGTTTTAAGCCCAGGTGAAAATGAGGTCCGTTCGTCCTCCCAACGTCCTTCAGAAGCTGATACCGTGAATTAGTTTTCACAGAGTCTGAGAACTTCCCCGTCTCACTATCTCGTCTCTAATCTTTCAATTACTGCGTGTGTGTGTGTGTGTGTGTGTGTGTGTGTGTGTGTGTGTGTGTGTGTGTGTGTGTGTGTGTGTGTGTGTGGAGGGATTTTAGAGATAAAGAGGCTTTTTGAGGACGTGCAGAGAGGACCTGTGACCACACAGACACATGCTGAGAGAAGATTCAGCGATTAATCAATAATTTTACCATTTTATGTAAAAACCTGTTCGTCCTGACAAACTGGTGCATTTTCACGGCCGGCTCTCTGCTCTCTGCTCTCTGCCTCCATCACAGGTTTCAAACTGATCATTGAAGCACTGTTACACGTAAAAGCCAACGTTGTTACAATAGTTTAGTTGCCACAGTTAAACAGTCAGTGTTTGGGTGAATCTGGTTAAGTTTTTGGGGGTAGAAGCTACCAGTTTCATATAAATTTTGCCTAACTACTGCATTCACTCATTTAAAAACACAACAAAAACAATCAAGTGTCCAACCATATCTCTTTAAAATGCTGACGTCTTAGTTGTAAGACGCTTTTCTTCTTCACTCGCTGTTGGTTCAAGTTTAAGCACCTCCTTGGTTGAGGAGTTTGGGTAGAAATCAAACTCCGGGGATTAAAAATGAAGCCGGCGTCTCAAAGCTTTTATTCAAGGCACTTCCCATCCTTGGCTCTTAATTAGCCATCAGCACAGTGACAGCAAAGAGCGACCACACAAGGAGCTGGTCTTACCATCTGGGCACATTTAGGGATCAATGTGTTGCCCAAGGACGCAGTCGCATTAACATCTCTGACCTCTTTCTAATCTCTTTATGGTTGTTCTTTAATTACATCTTTATAGTTATGATGTTAAAGAGGCACAAAAACCTTTTCTGTCTCTCAGCGTTTGTTTTATATCTCGATTGGATCATTTTGTATCTCTTCCAACTCATTTTGTTTCTTTGCACTTTTTTCTGTGTCTGAGTTTATTTCCTTTGGTGCACTTTTGAGTTTCTTTGATGTTTTTCTGAATTTAAAGACATATGATACGATTTCAGTGCAGGCTCATAACTGAATCCGAGCAGTTTCTCTAATGTCCAGTTGAGGCTGGCGGGTCCTGAGTGTCAGTTTCCACAGACCTCCGTGTAAAAATGTCCAAACTTCCCTCAGAAATATGTTTTCAGCCTGACACAGAATGCAGCTTTGATCTTTACAGCTAATTTCACTGTGAAACTAATCAAGTTAGGGAACCTGAGCAGATAATGCCAACACCCCCACAATAACCCATCTTTCATATGCAGTCAGTGGGTAACGCGAGCCACATGCTATAAGCACACTGTAATCTAAGATAAAGTAAAACGCCATTTTCTTTGAATGCTGGACGGCGTCTAAAACATTTAAATAGACTTGGTTTGTTTAGCTGTTTCGTGCATCAGGGGCAGCTGTTCTGCATCACCATCTTATAAACAGGTCGAGCTGAGGATCAAACCACAAACCTCGCAATTGATCCGCTCTTCCACCCGAGCCACAGCCGCCTCACATCTATTCTTTATGTTTAATCGTTTGATGTTCAGACCCCTGCTGTCTGCAGAAACAGCGCCTGCAGGAGGAGAATCAGTGGTGTGCTACGTTTATACGCGCGTCTGAATAAAAGTCTTCATTAAAATAAAAGCGTGGACGTGTCCTTGGATGCTTATTTCAGCCTGAAAGAGAAAAAAAGAAACTCTGGCTGTAATGTGGGAACGCAGACTCAGAGCTTCTCTGTCAGAGCTAATTCTCGTTTGTGCTAATCTTTCAAACCAGATTCCTTCTCCCGCTCTATCAGTGCCCGCGTCTCGCTCTCTCTCTGTCAACACGTTAGTTATTCAAGCAGAGGGAATCTGGCACAAGTCATTCGTCAAAGTGAGATAGAAGAAGAAGAAGAAAACTACAAAGTGAAGTGTGTTTTGGCCTCCACTTTTCATCCAGTGACTAAACAGAGCAGCGCTCAGAGATACGGCGCCGACGACTGAGGACATCTTCGCATTCGAGGAATTTAATTTGCAAAAGTTAGTGAAGAAAATAAATGATAATTTAATCCATTAGCTGGTGTTTCATAACCGTCGCTCAGCATGTTTCAGCGGAATCGGCGCGAGCGCCAAGGTCAAAGAGGCAAAGACTCGGCTAACCGTCGTGGTTGGCGCTGCCAAGCGTCCAGGGCTCATCGGAGTCAAAGTGCGTGTCTCCTCCGATGCCGGCGCCGGGGAAGTAAGCGTGGGCCAGGAAGCCCCCCTCTCCGTCGAACGGGGAGCTGTCACCGTGGAAACCAGAGGCGAAGAAGATCATGATGTCAGCCTCTTTGCCCTCGTTCTTGATCTCCGAGTACGGCACCTCCTGAGCGGGATCAGAGGAACAAACAAGGAATCAATATTTCAGAAGATTAAAAATACTGTGAGTTTCACGCGCTCGTTCAGGCTTCCTCCTCAGAAACGACGGCCTGCCTTCTACTGCACACCAACAGATACTTATTTCATATAAAAATGACAGTGACTGTAATCAGAGCTTTACTCTTTTAACAACATACGTTTCGCTGTGGTGTGTCCAAAAATGGGGGAATCAGCCGTCCGTGCTCAAAGACATCTTCCTTCACTGAAACGTCTTCTGGGCTGATAAACAGCAGGATTTCTGCACATCTGTTTCAGCTGAACAGCTGTTTTCAGCAGCTGGACTAAAGCTACCTACCGGTAAGTGTTTTTATACCCAGCCATGACGCCACAGTGAGCAACACAGATTATAAACCAGACGATAATATCACAGGTTATTCACTGATTGCTAGAACAGCTCGAGTGCTCGATCAGTGGGTTTCACCTCGAGGCCACGACGACACTACGAAGCTCTTCTGTTTATTACAGCGTCGAAGGATCTTCTGCTCCTTGTGCACTGGAGAAAGGTGAACCTGATCCAGAAACCAAACTATCGATTGATGGCAAGAGTCAAGAGTCATAATAGCAGCTCTTGTTTCACCTGTTATTGTGTCTGCTGTGGTGTTTAGAATTTACTGACATATTTTCCGTTGTTTGGGAGACAGACACTATCTCTACTTTCAAGATCAGGCTTCAAACTTTCCTTTTTGCTAAAGCATATAGTTAGGGCTGGACCAGGTGACCCTGAATCCTCCCTTAGTTATGCTGCAATAGGTGTAGGCTGGATTCCCATGATGCACTGGGTGTTTCTTCTTCACTCACCATGTACACCTCTCTGCATTTAATCATTAGTTATTATTAGTCATTGTGTCTCTTCCACAGTGTATGTTTTGTCCCGTCTTCCTCCCGTCACCACCGACAGCAGACGGACGCCTGGTTCTTCTGGAGGTTTCTTCCTGTTAAAGGAGTTTTTCTTTCCCACTGTTGCCAAGTGCTTGTGCACAAGGGGTCGTCTGATGTTGGGTTTTCTCTGTTATTGTACTGTATAGTATCGAGATGATTAATGAACACAGAGCATGAGAAGAACTGGTTTAGAATAATAAAAAACTCCCCATTAATCGATGTAATATTTAGCTTTTTTTAAAGCTTACATGGAGGAGTGCAGTGTGTGTGTGCGATGTAACCTCTCTGTCCAAAGCAAATTTCTCGTTCTCTTACAGCATTAAGTGCCTCGAGGCGACTGTTGTGATCGGGCGCTACATATGTTCCAGCTTTCGACCTGTATGACTCAGGCGTGTATCTGGACGTCTCACCTGGAAGGAGAGCGGCGTGACGGCCTGCCACACATTGAAGGCTTGTCGAATCGCTCTCTGGGTGTCCTTCTCTCCAACTTTGGGGGTGAAGTTGGATATGCTGCGGGAAAGAAAAAGACGCCACAGTTCAAATAAACAGCGTGTTCCCACATTCACTGTGAGGTGAGCAGAGGTCAGTGAGTGCGTTGCCTGTAAAACCTGTGAGAACACACAACATGTGCAAGGAAGCATCGGCTAAAACAACAACGACAATAAAAAGTGTCTTTGTTGATGCAAAGATCCAGACCTGTACACGCTTTAGTGAAATCAGCGGATTAGGATTCAGTGTGAGTCAACGAGCAGCGCGGTTGGCACGACGGCTGATGCGTGTTCGGCTGGAAGAGACGAACGAGGCAGAAAGGTCATTATAGAGTAATTGCAGGAGACGATGTGCCACCCATAGCTACTCTGCTGCTGCGAGAGAGAGGATGGGAGGTATATCATTACATGTTTTATCACTCACTTCACTGTCACTGGGAACACTTTCATGTAGCGTCTTTAAAAGCAGCCTTTTAAACCTTTGCTGTCACCTTCCAACCCTGTCGGAGGAGACGGGAGAGCGAGTCGAGGACGAGGGAGCGTTAGAGGACAGATGGGAGTAATTGGCAGAGGCAGAGAGGGTGGAGGATGGAAAAGAAAAGCCAGGACAGGAGAGGGAGAGCAAGGAAAAAACACGGCGGGATAAAACAGCGAAGCAGGCGGCTGAGTTCATTTCACACAATCTGTCTCTCGACGGGGGAGCAAAGGCTTTGTTCCCGACCAGAAACATGCATTATGGAAATAAATATCAGCACATTTACACAGTTGCTGTAACTCAACATTCATTCATGAGCACAGCAGCTTCCTGATGTGAGAAAAATAAGTCCAGCTGGCAAAGAAATAGAAATGTTTATAGCACTTTACAGGTAGTCCCTGGAAATGGATTAAAAGTTGTTGTGAGCTGTGATGGAGTGAATAAAAAAACGTCTCCAACGATCTAGAAGACAGATGCCGATCGAGACTCGATGAGACGCCAAAAACGAGTTTATTTCACCGCTGAATGCAGCTGGTCATGAGTCATGCTATGGTGCTTCGCTGGCACGTCCCTCAAACCAAACAAGCCCCTCAAAACTGGACTAATGCCCTTTGACCCCCATCTACTCCATAAACACAGGATCCAGAGAGCTTCTCCTACAGCTGATGGGCCTCCACCTGAATCCTGACTCCACGATGGGGAGTCATCATGAATCCCTGTTCCCTCTCCAAGGCCTAAATACCTTGGGAGATCCAACCAGGGGAAAGATGCCCTCAGCAACGTAGCTGCTTGGGTCAGAACCATACACCATGTTAGGGTGGAGCTTCATGGGGCGGCAGTTCTTTGGATTCACAATTAGTTGCTACCCCAAGTGGAGGAGTTCAGGTATCTCTGGGTCTTCGGCCGTGTGTCGGGGAGAGTGCAGACTGGTTTGCTGTGACAGCGAGGCTGTAGTACAGAGAGACGTGAGCACGAAGCTGTCAGCTAGCTACGTCGCCACGCCCACCCGTGAGCACGATCTGTGGGTAGCGACTGAAAGAATAAGATGGAGCAGAAATGAGCTTCCTGTCACAGGTGTGTGGGCGCCTCGTTAGAGATTCAGGAGGAGCTTTAAGCTGTGCTTCATATTTCACATGGACAGGATCCACCTCAGTGCTTCAGTATCTGCTGTGGCTGCACCCAAACACCTCCTTGTTGGTATGTTTTGGGCGTGTCCAACCAGCAGGCCACCCACGCTGAAAAGGTTATGAGTGAGGAACATGAGAAAGAGAACGCACTGGAGGCAGACAGTAAAATCCAAATCCTTTATCCAGGCAGAGGTCACACAGAAGTAATCAGTGAGTGAAGCAAACAAACCCAGTGAGGGGAAGACAAAAAGATCTAAAACACACCCAAAGGTCACACAGGAGGAAACCGAAGATTAAAGACTGGAAAAAACACAAAGACACAAAACTAGAAGCCTGGAAAACTTGACTTGGATTATTTAACATGTCATCGAATTTAATAAAATCGTAGAAACCCAAGGGACACACAAACACATGCACAATCCAAACTGAAGGGAAGACTGGACTATGGACTAATCAGGGAAACAGGAGGGCAACGAGATCCAGAGGGAACACCGAGCACCAGCAAACGCTAATACAAACAGACTCAAAGGATTAAGGAAAACTATAGAAATCAAAACAGACATAACACCCAGACTGAGAGAACCTTCTCATCAACGAGAATATACTGGAATTAAACTCCAACAAACCTGAAAAACCGCCATGGTTTTTCAGGTTTGTTGGCGGCCGGGGACAGGTACGTCCTGCCCCTGCAGCCCACACCTGATAAGCTTCAGCTATCGTGTACGCAGCAGCCTGCACAGATGGGGCCTCCTCCATCAGGTTAATGTATGAAAACTCAAACAACTGGAATTTTACTGACTGATCATCTGCAATATGTCATCAGAATCACGTCATTTGGAAACATCATTAATAAACCTATATTAGAGCAAAGTCTGTGCTTCTTCATTTTTTGGTTTGGTGTTCAGAAGGAATTCAAAATGAGGTCAGATAACAGGAAATGAATCGTGTGGACAGTGACGGCTGTGACAGCAGCCCACTGCGAGTTACATAAAGTTCATCTTCACTGAAACCAGATCAGAAAACAAAACAAGATCAACCTGGATCGTTGTGCTGGAGCTGAAGTGAGCTGCTCTTTGAACACATGAAAGAGAATCAACGATCAGCTGATCCGAGAAATCATTTTAACGACTCAGTAATAATTCTTCAAGGAAATCTCCAAACATGACGAGCAAACATCTCGTTTCTCTTGGTTCTTGGAGTTTTTTGACCAACATTTAAAGGTGCAGTTGATTAATCAATATTAAAAATAATCATTAGTTGCAGCTCTATTAGTGCAACGACATGATATCATATAAGATCTGTTTGAAGTGGACAGAAGCACGTCTGAGGAGATTTTACTGCATTTCATAACTGTGCCTGCAAATCCTCTACGAAGTTTATTTATAAATCCAACTCCCACCCTAAAGCCTGGTGATTAGTGTGTGTGTGTGTGTGTGTGTGTGTGTGTGTGTGTGTGTGTGTGTGTGTATGTGTGTGTGTGTCAGACAGCCAGGTAGCAGTTGTCTGATTTGAGTAAATGGTGTGTAACGTTACAGCAGTGAAACTGGCCAAATGACCTGTGGCCAAAACACACAGATGGTATACTGTCTGACACACACACACACACACACACACGTCTAGCACTCGGTTGGATATGCAGACACTGTAGTCTCACACATTTAATGCATTTAGATAATGAAATGTGCTGCACAGATTTCAGGTAATGGGCGAGAAAAAGAGGAAATCAGAGGAGATGACTCCAGGAGTTCTTTGGAGAATCGGAAACTGAATCCTTAAAAGGGAAAAACCCAAATCGACAATGCTGACAGGTCACTATAGTTTGCAATTAACAATTTCTTCCCACAGGGTGGGGGCTCTCTCACGGCTCATGGTTTGGGCGCCCTGTCAGCCAGTGGCGCTGGACAACTAATGAATTATAAACACAGAACCGTAACATCAGATTTTTATCCACCATGCAGAAACATCTGGAAACATCTGATTGGCACCAGCTTCATTTTTCAACATGACAATGATCCCAAACACACGGCCTGTGCCATAAAAGCATACCAATATATAAAACACACAGTGGAACACTGTCAGCCATGGATTGACCTCCACAGAGCCCGGACCTCAACACTCCTGAAGCACAACAAGAAGCTGAAACACCCAAAGGAGAGCTTTGGATGTCCCTCAGAATGCCTGGAGAGCTATTCCCAAATATACTTAAAGACATTCCTGTTTTACCAGCAGGATAAAGGAATGAGGCGTCTGCATAGTACTGCATGTCCACTCTGAAATCATCTGTGTTTACAGCCTCTATTTTAAACGTATCCTTAACATATTTCTTTCCTACAGCCAATACTTTCCTCCATCATCCACAACATTTTTAAGACTGAGGCGAGCATTAGCATTAGCATTAGCTGCAGGACGATGCAAGTTACTGAACCAGGTAAAATAATTTTAGCTAGTTAGCTTAGCTTTAGCACAATTTGCAAACACCAAAGAGAAGATTAGGCACAAAAATGATTTTCATTTGGAATAATTTAATATCTACCAGCTGATGGTGCAAAGTGAGGAGGATAAATCCTGAAGGGAGCATGAATATGTGTGCTGCGAAAACATTTTGTGTCACAGTGAAAGGGATGAGCCGTGTGGAGGAAAGTAAAGGAGGGTCCAAGCAGGCACTCGTTGAGGTGTGAAGGAGTTTTATTATAAAAATAAGACACAAGTAGAAGATGGCAAACAGAACTAAAGCTAAACTATACTGGAAAAAACTAAACTACTAAACACGAACAAGGGTGACCGGAAGCACATGAAGGTTGACAGCAGACACACAGCTGATTCACAGGAGATAAGCAGACGGACCAGCGACTACAACAAAAGAAGACACGACTAAATACACACAGAAGAACACGGAGATTACACACAGGTGGGGAACACAGCGGGAAGTGATTGACGAGACGAGACAAGAGAGGCAAAATAAGACACGGACTTTCACAATAAAACAGGAAACAAGAAACCATTACACAAAGACGCAGACTAGACACAGAACTAAACCTACACTAAACACAAACCTAAGAACTAATCTCTTGTTATAATAATAACAATAACCAACAAAGCACCACAAGAGAATGAGAAAAGAATCCATAATGCGAAATCACACCAAACGTCACATGTTGAATTCTGAATTATTTAATAAGTTGCATGTCAGGGAAGAGTCACGTGAATCTGGGAATTCACCGTCTGGATCAAAGTTCATGGAAAAGGTTTCAGCAGCTGTCTGGATACTTCACTAATATACGGATCAGAATTTATGGAAATGCTTCACGAAGAACACAAATTTCTACACGGCTGAAGGGATTCGTCCTTTAGAGGAGCTTTAACATCTTTATCTGATCGCAATCCATCGCTGAGCTCAGTCGGAGCAGCTCTAAATGCAGTTATTCTCTTCTTTTGTTTCTGTCCTTTGATTGACTTTTAATGAATTTGCTTAGTTGCAGAGGCATCGGCATAAAAGGGGAAACATCATTCTTCTGAGTGCTCTCTCAACTTGCTTTGGCCTTCACTTGTATTTTCTTCTTCTTTCCAGCCTTCTCGACTCTTCTTAATATCCGCCTTCTGCACGGAGGCTTTACTGGAAATTTTCACTTGGAGATGCACAGTTGCATAATCCTGCAGCTACAGTATCGAACAGCGGGTGTGATTACACGCAGCCCTGAAATTCCTCTTAACGCAGAGCAGAGGCAGAAAAAATCCTCCTGTCTGAGCTCATCGCTGTCACTCAGGTAAGCGCACTGAGCGGCAACCACCTTCAGATCGTATTGTTTTGATGCAGCATGTGAGCCGGGTATGTGTTGGATACACACAGAGCAAAATAAGGTTAGGAGCACACTGTGTGGGAGCTGCTGCTACTCTCTGGAGTTGTTGTGTAGATGTACACGTATGCTGAGTTTCCAAAAGCAGCTCCTCTGGATGATTCACCGCCTTAAATCTAAACCTTTAGCGTTTATTATTAACCTCTGTCTCTCTTCCACAGCATGTCTTTATCCTGTCTTCCTTCTCTCACCCCAACCAATCACAGCAGATGGCCCCGCCCCTCCCTGAGCCTGGTTCTGTCGGAGGTTTCTTCCTGTTAAAAGGGAGTTTTTCCTTCCCACTGTCGCCAAAGTGCTTGCTCATAGGGGGTCATATGATTGTTGGGTTTTTCTCTGTATGTATTATTGTAGGGTCTACCTTACAATATGAAGCACCTTGAGGTGACTGTTGTTGTGATTTGACCCTGGATAAATAACATTTCCTTTTTAGCTACAATGAAGAGTAAAATCTCACTAAGTGCTTGGAACATCTTACAGTTTTATCTGAGCTAAAATTCCTGCTACAGTGGCTCAGTCAGCCTGACATCTTCAGATCAATGCATAAATACAAATGAGTCTGGAACCGCTCAGTTCATTTCTCACATTCAAAGGGCTGCAAACCAGAATCTCTCTGGAACAGACAGACCTGTAACCAGCGTTAGCTTCTTCATCGTTCTTCTCAACACAGATTTTAAGAGCAGTTTTGTCTCCTTCAGAGAAACTATCCTGTAATTCTGTGTGTGGGATGGAAACGTTCTGCAGTCCGAATGAAAACGAGTTCGTGATACTCGGGTTTTAGCAAAGGGCTGCTCACATTCAACCTGCAGAGCTGCAAAGATCATTCATAGTTTCTCCGGTTCCAGTTAATGAAGCATTGGAAGCTTAAGCTCAGCTCCTGCACTTTCAGTGAACCAGAAGGTACGCCCATAATTCATGCAAAGGATCCTGGATGTGACAGTAAGGTGGCCCGAAGCGCAGCTTGGCAGGTGAACACGAATACTGCATGGACCGTAAATGATGGAGCATAACCAGCCTAAACACTGGCTCCATATCACAGAGTGTGAGTGGAAGAGGAGGAGGCTGGTCTGGCTCTGGGGATGGGCCGGTGCCTCGGAAGAAGAACAATCGAGTTAGAAATGATTGGAGCAAACGGCTCGAGCGACGGCAGCCGAGCTGAAGACAACACTGCGAGAATGCGACAGCAGATAACAGGTGAAACACGAGGAGGCCCGAGGAGACTCAGATGCAGTAAGGGGTAACCGGATAGCGCCAATCGCACGCTGTGGGTTTTATGTAACGTTGTAGAGTGGATCCCAGTAAAGCAGCAGAACTGGGATGGGCCCAGAGTCTCGCGGGAGCTGCGTAATTTACATTAGACCTATAAAACTCTGAGTGGGATGGTGTGGAGAGACGGGGGTGGAGGAAAAGCAAGAGGAGGCTGAAAGGGGATTCAAACATCTAAATAAGAAACTGTTTGATCTCAGATGTTGAAGCAGGAGAAGAACAGAATTAAACAAAGACGTGGAAAATTTCAGCGAGAGGAAGAAAAGCAGAGACGATGAATTTAACCAGAAGGAAACGAGAACACACGATACGACAAAACCAAGCAGAGATATAAATAATGTTCACACAGAGGTGCTGCAAAATGACAGAGAAACAAGGATTTCTACAAAGAGATACCGAAAGGGAACTCGTGGTGGATGAAGGTGGAGCTATCAGGAGGCTGCTGCTCGCATCACACTTCAAATCAAAATGGAGGATGCTGTGATGTCACTGAGACTTACAGGAAGGACTGCATGAAAGCTCTGCAGAAACCCTTTCTACTGAAACATGAGAGGGAAAAAAGGTTCATCCTGGACTCACGAGTGCCGCTCATCGAGCAGAACCACAGAGTTCTGGAGTATTTGGAAAGTCGTAGCAGATAACAGTGAATGCTGAACACTAAATGAGCTCAACGAGAGAGAACGAGACACTAACTGTTGCTGTCCTCCACGACAAGCTAAACCTGGTGCTATGCTTCTCCTCTCGTGGCCCCTGATAAATACACAAATACAAACTAACCACAGCCCCATTCAATAAGGAACATTTTGCTTTTAACAGTTACGACGAGGCAGTTTATTAAAAACGGCCACAAACAGTTAAAGTTCCCTAAAAAAGGATTTTTGGTCCCCAGAGCTGAAACTAGAAACAGAGAATGGAAACGAGGCGTTCAGGGCAGCAGTGTTTACTTACTGTTGGTCATTTTTACCAAGAAACTGTGGAAATACACAAGTACCGTTTCAGTTTGATTCGTGGCACTGAAGCTGGATTTGAATTTGAGAGAGACGCAGTCGGGGAACAAGAAGCAGAGAGAACTAAAGTAGGAGACAAAGAGAGAGACGGGAGAGAGAAAAAGTGGGCAGGAGCTGGGATGCGTTCAGAGTCCCGTGGGACGGCTCTAATCTGCATTAGACCCACATTACACGGCCGAGCTGCTGGTTGGATCACACAGCCGAGGGTTTTACCGTACGTCCATAAAGAAATAAAGACGGAGAGATGTGGGTGGGTGGATGTAATGTATGGATACGTGATGTGTTCAGGGTACCCTGGGACGCAGCTGATTTACATTAAGCCCAGGCTGGGAGAGAAAGAAGGAGGATGAAGATGGAAACAGAGAATTAAGAAAAAGAAACACTCACTCAGGATCCCATTAACATGTGTCGGCCTCTTTAATAGCCGTGTTAGCTCAGAGCGCTCAGTTACTGCATCTTAGAGCTCATTATGGGAAATGAAGTCAGGTATGCACACCTGTACGAGATCCTTTTATCTCTCCACTTCTGTCCCGTCAGCGCGTAGCGTTTGTTCCTCTGCCGCCGGCTGGTGTGAGGATGATCTGGGACGCCACAGCGAGGTCTCCTCATCCACCTGAACACAACAGCAACATGTTAGTGTTTTGGCACAGACTGGGTGGTTTCAGCTGAACAACAATTTCAGTGAACCGTGTTTATTCCAAGCAGCTTTGTTTTTAGGGGACACACAGCTGGAGATGGTTATGAATTAGTTTTGCATTTGCAGTTACAGGACCAACTAAACGATCTCATGTCTGCCAATCATCAGCGCCATTTTTAGTTTCTCTTAGCTGTTCATTATTCACCAAAGCAGCGCACCACAGCCGGCAGTTTCACATATTTGCTTTGACACAAGAATCGATTTCACTGGACGCCTGAACCTGGGTGCTTTCACATGTTGATGTAAACTACGTGTAAACTGTGAGGCCATTTAAAAGTACTTTTGGTAATGAAACTACAGAATTGATCTAAAACTGTTATCACCAGGGGGCAACCGAGTGTGCTGAGATATTTTCGAATGTTTGCTGACGCTCTGGTTACCAACTTCTCCTTAGCAAGCTTTGCTTTTTCCCATCAGAAATAAGAATGACATACAGGATGTGCAGGAAGCTCCCGGGACACAGTTTTTATGCTGATGTTAAGTGTAGAGGACGTTTGGAAGCAGTTATCGAGCTGGGAGAGTGTTGGTGACTTTTAGGCACCCGCCTCTCGTGCTGCTCAGCGCTTTAACTCTGTAACATTTAGAGCTGATCACTGAATATCGGGGAGTGATAAGACTGATAATCTCTGAGTTTAATGGAGATGCACGATCTTCCAAAGAACTCTTGGAACATAACGACAGCCATTAGATTTCTGCTAAAACATTTTAAAAAGCAGACCGTTGAAGACGATGCGAGGATGAGCAGCACCCACAGGAAGCAGATTCACTTGTGGAGAGCAGTTTGTGTGCTGAAGCAGAGGAAGCACATTTAAATTGAAAGCAGTGAGGCTGATTGCTTCTCGGTGGATTAAGTGTCTGTGAAATGTCAAAAGGGGGTCAACGCTCAGCTTCGCAGAGCTCCTCGGATTCTTTAAATCATTGTTTTGAATTTCTGGCTCACGCTTTACATTCTGCTTCAGTCGTATCGTTTTCACAGCGTCGTTTCAGACGCTTCAAAAACACCTGAAGAACAGCTTCAGACGACGCGCTCAGCAGCAAACAGCAGGCGGACGCCGTCAGAGACAGGCTAGTAAATGCAGAGCAGCTAGAGAGGCTCAGGTTAGCAAAAACAGAAGAGTGTAACACTTTAAACTGGTTACACTGGTGGGTGGTCACGTTAGCGATCAGAAAATGAAGCTTCTCTGTTTCTCCTTAAGTGGAAATATTCAACGGTAAATGTAAGTGTGGTCCATCGTTTGGAGATCACTGCTACAGACACACCAAAGTCAAGCAGCATAGCTCACAAGCAGTGGGTGCTGCCCCTCAGTAGGTTTCTGGAAGCTGGCCAATCAGAACACAGCAGGCTTTCATGGAGCAGAGCCTTAAAGGCGCAGGAGCTACTGTTTTGTTTCAGGTAGAGGATGAAGTGAGGAGCACCAAAACCCAGATTAACCAAAAGTATTTTTTTGGACTGTGAATAAAAATAAAGTTTCACTTATTGAGAAATGAGCAAAGTTGCAAAGAAATAATATCATGTAGTATAATACAGTGTGTGTCGTTTGTGTGTTAGCCATACAAAAGGAACATTTACACAGTTATTTAAAGTATTAATACAATATTTACTGATTATTGAATACACATGATCATGACAGTGCCAAGAGATGAAAACTGACTAACGGGATTGTCAGATTTCTCTCTCGCTGCCTGTGAACACGCCTTCCCCCCTTTCCTCGTCCTTCGTGTTTGACCAACAGTAGCAGATTTTCCAACAGCACCGAAGGCTATTAAATCTACCTCCGACTGATCTGGTATGGAAATCTCATTTTTTATGATACGCATGTTTGATTTGGCCAAGATGTTACACCACATGCCCTTCATGATGCAACGGTCCCCGCCTGCACGAGGAGTGCCCTGCCTTTCCCACTTTTACGGAAACGTCCCGATTACTCACTCGATAGTCGTCTCATCCAACACTCCCGTCACAGGGATGCCGTAGAAGCGCTGCATGGCGGCCACGGCAGACTGCATGGCCTTCTCCTGCCGCAGGTCTGATGTCCGAACGTCGTGAGGCAGCAGGTAGCCGTAGTTCTTCAGCCACGTCTGAGAGAAACACGGACAGAAGAGGTCGGTTACACAGGACTAACCTGCTAGACAGTAGAGCCACAACAGACTTACTGTAGATCCTTCTTAATTCCCAATTATAGAAACATAATAAACATACATCATAGACTTCTCTAGAGTCCATATGCACAATAGAAAGCTGTGGTAGTGTCCATGGTGCTGAACCGCAGGCCAAATGTAACCAGGTCGTGTAACTTAAAGACTAAGGTGTGCTAGTTATTTTGTCATGTTGGTTGCCTTGGACACACACGTTTATAAAATAATTGCAGACAGCTGAATGTGACATTTCTTTGAGTTTCATGGTGTCAGCGCAGCACCGCCCGCAGCACCGCCCCTCCCCACCTTCCCACCAATAAGCTGACAGCTGCCATTTGGATTCAAATCCACGCTCCTTGCAGCGTCTCACAGGTCTCCCTCTGACCTGCTGAGGAAACCTTTGATCATAACAATATAACCCTTCAAATATTACAAAACAGGCTGTGCTTACAGCCCCAGAGAACAATCGCACATTAAAGTTTCCCTCAGTGTTCAAGTAATTCAACAATAACTCCTGCACATCAGCAGGTTTGCAGCAACATGCAGCTGCCAATAGCTGGTTCAGTTTTTACATCAAGTTTCATGTTCCTGTGGCCTCAAAACACCACAATTTATTGGAACAATAGTTCAAAACACAGAAAAAAGGTGTAACGAGTAGGCGGACAAAAAAGATTCAGGGTGAGTGAAAAGAAGACATTGAACCTGTCGGAGAGAAACTGGGGAGCCAGTTCCTCCGAATCCCAGAAAATCGAATTCACACCGATCCAAAATCGATGCTGAATCCACAGTTTTCCTCGGATGAGTCTTATTACGTCGTATTTTTCATTTAGCAGCCGCCTGTCTCTTTAATGTGACATAACACAATCTCACAAGCCTCCGGAGGGAGAGCGAGGAAAGGCAGAGAGGAAGGCGGGTAAATGAAGAGGAGAGAAGAAGAAAAGATGGAAAAATAAAAAGGAGGCTGTTGAAAGAGCGAACAGCAGCACGGAGAGATAAGAGGCAGAAGGTTTCAGAGGGAGAGGACACGAGAGGCGGGTGAGGTAATGAGGGGGGAGGCTGAGCTGTTCTCTACAGTAGGTCATTAATAATTCAGAGCGAGGCAGCCTCTCCCAGCAAGTCCGGGCCCAGAAAAGCAAACGCCTGCCCGACCACAGCTTTCCAACACCGAGGGCATTTATGGAAGCCCGTTTCCCCCAGAGAAGACGCGTCGAGCAGGAAAACACGACTAAGAAGATGTTACATTAAAGTCAGTCAAGATAAAACCTGAGTGTGAAAAACACGACGTTTGACCAACGTTAATTTAAGATTATTGAACCACTCATGAGACAGATTAGGGAACATTTTTCCATAAAAGGGAGAATCGTGAGATTTCAGTTCCATTATTTTATTTATATAGCATCAAATCATAACACATACCACATGATGCTTAAATTACAATATTTGCAATTAAACAAAGCACGTGAGGTCATTGTTTAAGCCAATAAGTCAAAACAATGAATTATTAGGTGACGCTGAAGAGATTAAAAGACAAGATTTTGAGGAAAGAGTCAGAAATATGATAGAATAAGTGAAACTGATGTGGCAAAGATAAAGATTTAAATCACTATAAACATAATAAACAGAAGTAGAGATAAAAAAAATCTAAATTTGTAAACATAATTTTAAATAATGGTTTTATTTATCAAATAACATTTTAAAGAGTTAAAATAGTGCAGCTAGTTTAACATATCCTGAAAGCACAGATGCTCTTCCATATTTCTAGTCTGAACAGAGGAAGCACGAGTCAGCATGAGCGTGTCTTTCTTGTATTATAATCAATCATTTTACTGGACAGCTAATTGCTGTTGATGCTCACATGTGTTTAGATTTGAGATGCAGGGTTTCTGATGTGAGAGCTGGTCTGTAACTCTGCTGTTTAGCGAACTTATTTAGACTCTGTGCCGATCTGCTTTTAATCCAAAGTGTAAATGTAGACACAAAGTGCCACATGGTCCATGAGCTGAGAGGAAACTGACTGCTTACAATCCAATTAAAAGCTCCCCTGCAATAAATCTGTGGCGATGACAACTTCCACTGCAACAAAACATCTAAATCTGATTCATGTGATTTCATCCTGTCCCATCTGCTCAGGCAATAAAAAACAGAAACATATCTGAGCTCCGGGCAACAAACACAAACTCTCTTACAGCATCTGGCAGGCCTACGTTTCACTGTGAGAAGGAAACGAGTCAGTAAGGAGCAGCGTGCACGCTAAACTCTGCAATTACAGACACAACGAGAACAACGAGCCCGTTCGATTTGTGAGGACCGGGAAATATTTCCAGGCCTCTGAAACAAGCGTGAGCCCTAAAGCTGTGATTCACTCGTCGTACATCTCTTTGAAGGCTGGTCACCTGTAGGAGCTCCAAGCTCTGGTTGCCTAGGTGACCTAATTGATTTATTACCAGGTCAAATGTCAATCAACATATACATTTATTTGTAGCCGCTTCAGTCGCTCGTATGGAAGTTGAGAAATGCTTAGCTTGAATCCCGTTCGGTTCACCCTCGTCGTTACTTCACAGTCGTGGGTAGCTGCAGGTCAGGAGGTGCAGCAGGTCGTCTACTAACGGTAAGGTTGGTGGTTCGATCCCTGGTTGCTGTGCGTGCCAAAGATACTGAGGTCTAAGTTTCTCTCTGATGGTTCCATCAGAGTGTTTGATGTTAGACTGAAAGCACTCAGGCGCAGAAAAAAGCGAATGAGTCATGTTGTAAAAAAGCACTTTGAGAGCTCAAGTAGAGCCGGTGCGTTTATTTTCTGTTCCAGTGTTTGCATCGCTCAAAGACAAATGTGAAGCAAAGTTTTCCTTTGTTTAAGCTATTAAAGAAAATCTCTAAACCATCAGTAACTACCAGAAGTGGAGGATAAAGTAATTATTTTTGCTGAGCATGAAAGCAAAGCTGTCGATTTACAAACTAATCGATCTCTTACCCTCATTTACGGTCACAAACTGAGGGTTAGACTGCGGCACCCATGAGCTGGACCTGGATAAGCCACAGGTTGACCTGATGGATGAGATCAGCCTATCCACGACACGCGGTTAGTCACTAATATGTCATCCATTGCAGGAGCAGCTGGAAACAGGGTCAGTACATCCAGAATTAACCAGCCGCTGGAGGAAGAACAAAATAAAGGAGGAAAATGAGTGAAATTATATTCCTTAGAGGTGTTTCCTGAAATATGTTACTGTTATTTGAGCCCAGCTGTCAGCTGTACTCCTCTTTTCTCCCCTTGGTGCTTTTCTAAAAACATGCCAGTAACACAAGGCCATCCTTTGCTTCGAATGGAAATAACATTCTGCTCGGGTCCAAGTGGCAAAAAGCAAAAGTCCATGTGCCCTGCTATGTGTTGTCACTGAGCAGAGCTGCCTGCCTACACGTTTTAACTGCAGTGCATGCGACTGTGCATGAGCCATCCGGGCAGAGATGAAAAAAGTAAATGGTCTGTATTTGTATAGCGCTTTACTCGTCCCTAAGGACCCCAAAGCGCTTTACACAACCAGTCACGCACACATCCACACACTGGTGATGGCAGCTTCATTGTTAGCCACAGCCACCCTGGGGCGCACTGACAGAGGCGAGGCTGCCGGACACTGGCGCCACCGGGCCCTCTGACCACCACCAGTAGGCAACGGGTGAAGTGTCTTGCCCAAGGACACAACGACCGAGACTGTCGGAGCCGGGGCTCGAACCGGCAACCTTCCGATTACAAGGCGAACTCCCAACTCTTGAGCCACGATCGCCCCAACAACAACAGCAACTGATGGCGTGCAGCTGTGCGCAGCTGTCCTCGTCCTCATCAATGAGCGCGAGTCAGGCCTCAGACAACCTGATTCAGATCTCAACGCCTCTTTGAAGTTGTCCTCCGAGCGCCTCGCTACGATCGTTTTAAATCCACACGCACTGAAATACTGAACTTTCTGCTTCTGTGAGGCCTCTGAGGACCCCGTACTGCACCGGTCACCGTGTCTGTGAGTCCTCATACATGTGCATCCATGTGGTTGTGTACGTCTGTGTGTGTGTGTGTGTGTGTGTGTGTTCAGAGCTTTGATGGAAGTGTAGTAATTGTTGTATAATAGCAGCTGGTGAATTATTTAATTCAAACTGCTTCCGCTGAGCTGGCAGCTGCTGGATAGCGCACACACACACACACCTACACACACACACACACACACACACACACACACACACACACACACACACACACACACACACGTTTTCATCACTTCAGAGGACGTTACATTCACTTACATTTATTTTCTGAACACTTAAACTGACCATAACTTTAAACACGTCCCCATTTTAAAACAATGATTCATGACTTAAAGATTTTCTTTGTCTCTGAACTGAAACCGAGTCCCTGTCAAATTGACAGCCCATGCGTCCTTCTGCTTTACGAGGTCTCGTTCTGACATGATACCCTCTCTGGGCTTTTATCCAGCCCACAGATGGACCGAGTGCCACCCGGTGTTTTCACTGAAGAGCTCAGAGTTGCAGCTTTTGTTCAGAGCCATCATTTCCTGTTGAATCCAGAAACTACCAGATAACTGGTGCAGGGTGTTAGCTTTCACAGTCTGAAAGGACAAACCTCTCTACCTCAGACCAGAGTGATGCCAGCACAACAGCACAACAGGTAAAGTAATCATCTTTGTAGAAAGAAATAATCCCTTAAATAAAAGCTCCGTCAGCTGGAGGCAGGACAGCGTCCGGGCCGACTTCTGTCACACAGCTGTCAACCAACGACCAGCAAAGCCTCCTGTAAGCCTTCAAATCTAATTAATGGGCCAATAATGTCCCACAGGACGAGCGGCACACATATTAGAGAGCCTGAATTTATCAATGGAGGCCATAATTGCTTGCAGAAGAAATGACAGGCTTAGTATTTCTACTAAGATGGTGCTTTCTGAATGGAAGTGAATAGAACTTGAGCGGGAGGCGTTCTGAAGCCACAATCGAGTGACCGTTACGTGCATAATTCACTTTAAGCTGCTTCCATACTTCTTTGAACTGTGGACTGATCAAAAACACTTTTAGCATCTCTGAAACTCACAAGAAAAGTTCAAGAGTTCAAATATCACTGTCTGTTCTTCACATGTGGCAGGAAAAGTGGAAGGTGCGGCTGACAGGTGGATTAGTGTAGGCGGAGCCTCCTATTTCCCATGTATCATTCTACAGTCCTCAACTTTGGTCACGAGATCTGGGAATGAGCGGAAGAGCGAGTAGATGCAAACAGCCGAAATGAGTTTTCTCCAGGAGCTCGGAGCAGAGTGGAGAGGAACCCTCCGAGGTAGCTCGGGTATCTGATCGGGACGCCTTCCTTTGGAGACTCTTTGGGCATGTCCAATTCAGAGAAGTTAGGACCCAGCACTCATTGGGGATCTGGCCTGGGAGCTAATCGGGATCCTTCAGGAGGCACTGGGAAGTATTCTTGCTTTGCCAACTGCCACTAAGACTTCACTTTGGTAACTGGAAGAACCTGGATGGATCTTCTGTCACTGGTTGCACTTATCCAAGAACACATGTGTTATTATATCATGGATATTAAATGAGATTAAAACAAATGAAGCACATGTGAGTGAACGGGAAAAGGGAGAGGACGATGATCCGCTGTGAAGAGTCTAAGTTGGGAAAGTGAAACTACAACGAAACCACCTCTGTGCTTCATGTATGCGCCTCACACAGCGGGACTGCAGCGGCATAAATCACCTCCAGCACTGAGCCCTCCACACGTGAACATGTTTAATTCATATTCTTATCTGACTGGGACAAATGCTCTCTCGCAGCAGGCGAGCGGTGATTCATTAGACGTTGTGGGAGTTTCCGACGCCACGGCGGCACGCCTTTCAGTAAATGAACAAAATACTCGGACCGTTATCCAGAGAGAAGGACTGAGGCAGGCAGCGGCACATTTCCAGCCTCAACGCTGCTTATGCTTAAAAGAAAAAGGCAAAGATTTATGATTTATGGCCTTCAAGGGTTGATTCTGGTAACAGAGAGACGTTCCTACTGCTCAACAATCAGGGTCTGAAATATCAGATACTAGAACTCTCAGTAACTTTACGTCTACCGAAGGAAATAAATGAGACGTGTTTCAGACATGTCTGTCTGCTCACTGTCAGGTGTGGAGAGGCAGTTTAAACCATGGCAGATGCCCACTGGCCTGATATCTGTGGACAATCCATGCAGAAGGAAACACCTGACAACAAGTTACACCTGTCACAGTCTTTTCATCGAGGGAGGCCGAGCCAGAAGGCAGCAGAGACAGAAACGTGACGCTGTGCTAAATGCTGATATGTGCAAATCATTTTAATATCAGACACCAGAACTGGGAAATCTTTCTTTTGGAGAAATAGTGGTTCATTTTGAATTTGAAGTTAATCGGTTTGGACGTGTGCACAGGAGAGACGGTGGATTTACTGGGCAAATGGAGCTGACAGGCAGGATGACCACAGAGGATGCTGGGATAGGGTGAGATGGAGGCAGATGATTCGCTGAGGATAGTCTGAGTTTCCTCTGTGGGACATTATGAGAATTAACTCTTTAAAGTCCAACATTATCTTTATCTTTTTAACAGCTGTAGTGCCAGTTATTGGAGC